ATCCTGCGTAGCCTCCCAGCATGCCTGGAATGTAGGCGTTATCACCGGCCGCCGCGCCCCGCCCCGGGAGGGCCAGGCCTGGCTAGGCCGGGCTGGGGGCGCTCGTCCCGCGCCGGGGCCAGGTCCAGGCTGCGTCCGGGACAGCGCCGAGGGGCAGCCTGCAGGTGCAGTCCCGGTGGGCGCCCAGGGAGCCTGGGGCCCGCGAGCGAGCCCGCCGGGAGGAAGCCCCCTTAGAGTTGGGCCCGGGGTGATTTTCCGCCGGGCTTGGCGTTGGCCTCTGTGAGCCTCGGCACCCCGGCGCCCTGCACAGCAGCCCCGGCCCGCGGGGCGATGGAGCACTTGACCGTGCGGGTTCTGACCCGCGTTTGAAGGCCGCAGGAAAGGAGTGTTAGCTCCGGGAGCCCGTCTGATAGTGGTCACACGTTGACTGGGGCACTTTTCTTCATTTGCTACAGGGGTGTGGGAGGTGGAGGGGGACGGTGAGCAGGCACCCCCAGGGGCATGCCATTCCTCCCTTCTCTAACACCACAGGCAGGCACACCTGGCTACCCCGGGACTTGAACCATCAGTAGGCAGCGTGGGATCCAGCTGCCTGACCCGCGTTACACAGGCAGGTCTTCTAACTTCTAGGTTTATTGGGGTAAGCCAAGCATACTGTTAACATTAATTTCACTTGCTGTGGGGGCCTAGCACCCCAAGTATGTGACTCCTGGTCTTTCTGGTGCTCGGGCTGCTCCAGAGGTCCCCCAGGGGAGCCACTATCGCCCTGTCACTTCTACCACAGGGAGAAAGAAAGAAGAGGGGTCTGCCATGGGGGCACCCCTGAGAAAGCAGGCCCCACAGTTACGGGTAGAGCCCTCAGCCAGAGCTAGGCTTTCTGGAATGTCCAAAGTGAGAGGCCTCCGAGCCCCAGGACAGGGCTTTCTCAGGACAGGGGGCGTCTAAGAAGTTTCTGCTGATCACTGATCTCCATGACGGGAGGGTACAGCAGTGGCCAGCCAGGGGTCGGTCCTGAAGGAGAATGGAGAGGGGCCTGTGGCATGACCACGCCCCATTGGGGGTATTTTTGCTCTGACAACTTAAAAAAAAAAAAAAAAAGATTTCCACTAGGGGAGGGGGAGCAGCCCCTGTCAGGGAGTTGTAGAACTTAGAACTCTGAGGTCTTGTGGCCCCATTCCCCTGGGGTTCAAGCCCAAGGACAGTGAGCTACGGGAGCTGGCTGTGTCCAGGATGAGAGCCCGAGGCCAGGGCCCCACCCAGGCTAGTGAGGACTCAGCTGCTCTGGAGAAACCTGTTTTCAAACAGTTCTGCTGCAGCTGGGCCAAACAGCAAGTAAGGACAAAGGGGAGGGACCAGCCGGTGGTGTAATGGTATGTCACTGGACTCCCACGTAGTCGACTGCAGTTCGAGTCCTGGACCTGGTGGCTTAAACTCACGCCAGGCACATGTGTGTGCATGCCCAATATCCTGAGAGGAGAATGGAGAAGGGATTGTAGTGGGGCCATGCCCACGGGGGGGTGATTTCTCACTTTCTGTCTCTGTCTCTCTGTCTCTCCAAGGAGCACACATACCCTATAGCAAAAAATCTCTAAAATACAAAACAAAACAAAAACAGAACAAAGGGGAGAAACAACCTAACAACC